TCGGCCGCGCGGCGGACGGTGCGGAGCAGGGCCAGGGAGGTGGACTGCAGGAAACCTGGTGGGCGGCGTTGGAGACTTCTCGGGTTGACACTGATGGAGGTTTTGGAACTCTCACAGAAAGACATGTGAAATCGTATCCAATGATGTGAACTTTATCTGCTGAGTCAATCAATTCTGCTGCGGCTTTGGACGTCAGCCCTGCCCCGCCTGACTCCAAGTGCTTTTGGGCTCCAGCCACTGTCTTCCCTGCAATGATCTCGGAGGCCTTCTCAATTGCCTCCAGCTCCTGGCAGTTTGGGAGACCTGAACGGGGAGGTCCCCCCCAAACGAAGCCCTCATGGGATGAGCTATAAGGCTTCCACTCCTCTAAGGGGAGGGTTGAAACGGCACCATTCCGGTTCAACGAAGCAGTTCAACAGGCCCAAGAGCCGCCACGACCCGAGCTGCCCACGGTCTGACCGACGAAAAAAACACTCTTGACCGGAGGAACAAATAAAGAACGGTGGGCCAGCAAGGGGGGTCGAAGGACCATTTTGAGATGTTGTGAGGCTGCAAAAACAGAAAGGAAACACATCGTCCTCGCGTCTCAACTTCTGGTTGGACGCAAACTCCGTGGCCTTCTTTTGGCAGTCGAAGCTCCTAGGGCAGATCCAACCAAACACCGCACGTGACTCAGTTAAAGGATGTTGTTGTCCACAACACCCAGAAAATGCATCTGGGTTCTTTGACACACTCAGGTGAATCTGAAGCAATGGCATACAACTTCAATGACCCCAATTATATATAGGTCCATAATCATCTCCTAGACTACTCTGCACCAAGGATCAAATCCTTTTTGTACTTCACATCTTCCGCCAAGGTGGACTCAGCCTCCTCCAAATCGGTCTTGGCCGTCGCCAAGCTCTGCTGGGCCTTGCTCTTGAAAAGCGTCTTCTCTTCTTGCGCTTCACTTGCAGTGGTGACCTCAGCCGGCGAAAAGGCCAGCGGGCACTTCCCCAAGTGTTCCGTACAAACTATCCACCCTCCGTAAGAGCGTTTTTTCATCTACAAAGCAGTTGGAGGGGACGGCCCAATGTTATTTCCAGAGACCTTTGTCTCATCTCCCAGAAACAGATATAATGATATATATATATAGAGAGTATATAATAGAATATATATAATAGACCATCCCCTTGGAGCCTCAAGAGGAGTCGAACGTAGCACCTCGCCTGCTTGGCCAAGCTGTCCATGACCTGCTGATGAGAGCTCTTCTTACTGGTCTCCAGAGTCTCTAGGGCCTCCTTCTCCTCGGAGAACTTCACTTGGAGCTTTTCCAGCATCTCAACCACACCCTGGGACTGGAAATCGTAGGCCTCGTCCGGACGCCAGCCCAGCGAGCTGCGAGCTGAGCTGCTCCCCCGTCCCGGCCCCCAGGTGGACGAACGGAACCCGAAGCCAAGCTGAGGACTTGGGCAAACCCAGAAAATGCCAGCATAGATCTCAAACTGGTCTTCTTTCCTAAGAGAGAACCCCAACAGTAAACTCTTTGGAGCGAAAAAAAGGGGTCTTTTCATTTCGCCCCAGCGGATCCCACCGCAGAGCTCCGCGTCTCAGAACCGAGCGGATCGAAGACCTCAAAACGCACGCCCCGACGTCTCGGTCCTCTCGTCGTGCACGGGTGGGTTTCGGTGGAGGCCTTCGTGGGTCCTTGAAGAAGGACCTCCAACTTCTTCCCCAGCTTCGCTTTCAGCTGGGCCATGGCAGCCTCTGCCTCTGAGTCCTTCTGCGCCTTCAACAACTCCAAGGCCTCGCCAATGGCACCTCGGAAGGCAGACGGCGAAGCATCACACGAGACCCAAGGCAGGTTGGTTTTGAGTTCATGGACCAGTTTAGCGCTTTGTTCCATGAAAACCGACATCGATTCTGACGAGATGTGTTGTTTACCCTTGTATTAAGACCTCCAAATAGATAGAAAAAGTAGATCCCCACAAAGAATGAATTGGAAAGCGTTTCTATATTTAATCAAGTAATTTACAAAATGCCTGCAAGAAGGAGTGGTGCCTGACTGACCAAAGCAATGTCGATAGTTCAATTCAGGCGTCGAAACCTCCAATGTGGTCACTGACAACTCTGTGCCGGTGTTGCTCCCTGAGAGTAACGTTTCACACATTTGGTAGTTTTTGGCAAAATACTCCTCTGCAGACTAACATGGAACCCTAAAACCACGTGGTTCTAGAGGAAAATGGTCGAAACCGACGAGTGAATTCTCAGGTTTCATAGGATCGTTCGCAATACCCGCCCCCTAAGATTCGGGTCACCGTCCCAAATTCGTGCGTCCTCCTACATCGTTGATTCGTGTCATTCTGGGGGCACCTACATAGTCACCCGGAAACCACCTGCCCAAACGCAAAGTCTGGACCCGAATCATTGTATGCAGGGAGTCTGGGGTTTCTCACCAATCCCCGTGAGTTTTGAGGGACCAGTTGGGCCGTGACCGGAGCTTCTGGGTGTTTCCAAAACCCCCAGCCCTCTAGTCCGGCCGCGACACGAATGGACTCCTGGTACTCTTGGTGGGTGGAACTGTAGTCTGACTCCTCTTGTTGTCGCAGAGCAGTATTTTTCTCGGAGTCCTGCTGGGCCACCTCGATCTCCTTCTGGTGCGCCTGCAATTCACTGGTCAAGGTCGTGACCGAGGCCTCAAACTTCTCGATGTCCGCCTTCAAACGTTCGATGCGCTCGGTGCCTTCCTCAATGGCGCGATCCTTCTCGGAGAGGGTCTTTTCACAGAACGCGGTATAGTCTGCATGCTGTTTCCTGGTGCAGTGACTTGTCAACCAAACAAACAATATGGACAGCCACTCCCAGCCATAGGCCTCAGCATAAATCTGTATAAGCACTACCTGGACCCTCCAACAGGTGTTTCCTGGTGCCAACAGGTGCCCAGAAACCACCTGTTAAGCTTCTAAAACCACCTGTTGGAAGGTCCTGGTATAATATAAAGAGATCATAAAAGGTCTGTTCAAACCACCACCCAGTATCTCTTCCTTCTCGAGTGCGTCTTCTCCTTGGCTCTTCATCTCCTTCAGGAGCCCCAAGACTTTTTGCACTGAAGCTTGGACATGAGCAGCGCTGAGCGCCAGCACTAGCACCAGCACCACGGAAGACTTCATTGGGACCGGCCTATGTGGCCATGTGGCCAGGCTCGAGCACAAGGTCGACGACAAAGGCACCACCGAGTTGAGGATGATCATACCACATCGAACTGATCATATCATATGGAACAAAGTAGAAAATATGTAGAAATCTACATTGCCTTGGCGCCTTCAGTCACTGTCTTGTGATTGTGGCACCTCATGAATCCGCCCACCCACTCCCAAACTCCCTGCTGGGCGCGATTTTGGCTCACTCCGCTGGCTGTGGAGCTGGTGGCCTGCCGTGCTGGTCAGGGTGCTGGGACCTCGGGGTGGTGAAGTTGATGCACCTTGAACGGATGAGACTGGTGATAGAGAAAGGCAAGAGAGGGACCCGGGCTACCTCCTGGGCTACCTGTGGGAGTCTTGTCTTGTTCGGGTTCCACCTCTGTTGGATGATCAAACCCAAGAACGACGGCCTGACTCTGACTCCATGCTTTCTGTACTTCATTCAGAAGCCTCAGAATCTGTAATTACTTTCTTTAGGACACGCTGGAAGGAGCCAGCTTAAAACAGACACATGAAGCTGCAACAGGCGGTGGTTGAGGGCCCTTTTTGCTTTTGGAGACACAATGTGTGATGTTCAAGGGAACTGCTTCGGGGTCCAGTGGATGAAACCGAAACCCCTTGTATTTCGTAGCACTCGACTTCGTCCATGAACGCATCAACTGTAGTTACACATCAACAGGTAGAAAATCAAATTGTAGAAATAACAACGTCTAAAAATAGCGAAATTCAAAATGATGAGTATGATACTGCTGATATTGTTAGTAAAATAGAGAAAGTGAATCAGGTAATGCTTAGGATATTATTTGCAGGAGCAAGCAAAAGTCATATCTGCCAGAAACCGGTTGATAAAGGCTACACAATATTATTTGTATGCCCTACTAACACCATAACAATAAACAAGATTTTTGGTATAAGTTTTGGTGAGGGTTAAATGGAACCATTTGATTATTCAGAATTTGATGTCATAGCAATTGATCAAATCTGGTTCATCGGGTTGAGTGTTTATTGGAAAGCCAAATAGTTTGTTGAGAAATATCTTTTGCAACACGTGAACAAACAAAACCAGTTCATGAGCTGACAAATACCAAATATTAGGAAACAATATGCTGATGCAATGATTGACAATATGTTTGAGCATAAAGTATTGCTGAAAGTATATAAGAGACTGAACACAGAAGAGGATGAACAAAAGCTAAACAATATCAAGAACTATATACTTGTAAATACCCACAACTAAGCTGATTGAGAAATACTTTAGATACACTGATGATATTACATCGTCAACATACAACAAAGCATATTTATGCATATTTGAATAAGACCTGTAAACAATCATATAAATCATATGTATGGGTCAAACAAACGCTGAAAACCACGTATTTTGGGGGACCTGGTGGCGTCCCACTCTCAAAAAGAACAAGAAGGTGGCGCGAAAACAAAAAAGACACCGACCTCGACGGCCGTGTCCCTCATCGGTCGGCCGGTGGTCCCTGCTCCCGCCGCCTTGTGGACCGGTCTAGTGGGTCACGCGCCAAGAAGCCGCCATAGGCCTAGCAGGGCTGGACGCTGAGTGGCACAGTCCAGTGACCGGCACAACAGTGGCTGTAACACCAAAAGAGGGGAGGTGGTGGAGCATCCACAAGCAGTGGAGGTGTTGGGAGGTGTTGGTAACTCCCCTCTTTTTTATCCAAAAACACCTCCAACACTCCAAGAGAGGAGGGTTTGGTGTGTAGGAAAAGACCTGTTTGGAGAATAAGAACACCTCTATTGTCTAACCCATCTCCCCATCCACCGGCTCTTTATACTTGTTTCTTCACTACGCACGTGCATTTCTTTTTGAGTCCCCCTTGTGGTTAAGTGTTTACCCCTCTTCAAAGCTATCCCTTAAAGCCTTTGGACCCGCTGCCAATGATCAAGCGGTCAAGATTAATGGTTGGCAACATGGGGCATTAGGGAGACGGTTTGGTCTAGATTCCTATCTTAATACACACCCACATGGTGTTAAGTCCCCCATGTCCCTCCCAAATGTACCCAAGACGTTAGGAGTGTTCCTTTGATGTTCCTGGCAATGATCTGTCACCAGGGCACAAGCGAAGTTGACCACACGACTGTTCACCGACTAAAGAAAGAACGGGTGTTCCTGAAACAAGACGGCGTGATTGGTTGACCGGTCTGGTTTTGAACCCACAGCCAATATCTTGAGTATATCCCATTACCCAGGGCGGCGGCAGACGGGATCCCGCTTTTGACCTTGACGCTGCAGCCACATTATGGCGCCACTTTCCTAGTACTGCGAAGTTACATTCCCTGACGCCACATTCCCCCCTGACGCCGCATTACCCCCTGACGCCGCATTCTGGCGCCGCATTCCCTGACGCCACATTACCCCCTGACGCCACATTACCCCCTGACGCCGCATTCTTCCCTGACGTCACATTCCTCCCCTGACGCCACATTACTCCCTGACGCCACATTTGACGCCACATTCCCTGACGCCGCATCCCCCCTGACGCCGCATTCCCCCCTGACACCGCATTCTGGCGCCGCATTCCCTGACGCCACATTGCCCCTCTGACGCCGCATTACCTCCTGACGCCACATTGTGGCGCCACATTCCCTGACGCCGCATTTGCCCGTGACGCCACATTACTCCCTGACGCCGCATTCTGGCGCCGCATTCCCTGACGCCACATGGCCCCTTTGACGCCGCATTACCCCCTGACGCCACATTGTGACGCCGCATTCCCTGACGTGACAGGACCCCGTCTGATGCTCCAAACTGCACTTCGTAGCAGGGGCCGTTTTGACACTGTTGAAGCAGCAGGCAACCCCAACACATGTCCAAGATATGGCAGAACACACAGCGCAACAATTGGACATTGTGTTGTATTAAAAGGTAAGAAGCCCCCGTACCGCGCACGGTATGATTGAACATAGCCTTCCTACTTAGCTCAACGTACCACTGAAACGGGACTGGGCACCCTTAACAGTAAACTTGTGCGTTGAAGCTCTTGTTCGCGCAAATCTGCACTAAACTCTGCCGCTCCCATCACCCTGACATAGGCTTCAGATGATACAAAACGCCAGGCATCCTTGAGTCTGGGTTGAAATGAGGCCCAACATGGGCCCACAATTCACTCAACATAGCACTGCATCTTCAGCCATCGGCACATATCTGCTCAATCCGATCCAACATTGCCATCAGAATTCGTCTGCGGAAAGCGTCTTCGGGGTCTAATTCGTCTTCGGG